AATTGTCACAATTTGCTTTATATTATGCAAGTTAATGTTCAAAATATTCTACAGTTTAGTATGTATCCATTTTGCTTGTAATAATCAGAGTAGCATAAATCACTATACGGGCGTTCTATACACAAGTAATAAAATTTATATATAGGATTGCCCGTATAATGAAAAATTATAATATGAAAAAGCAATGCGTTTCTTAGAGATAGGTTGCAAATGCGGCTGTTCAAAAAAGATTTCGAGAGAAAAGTTTGCCGAATTACGTGAAGCGTTTCAAGCTCTTTCTCGATCTGAGCAAGACATATTTTTAATGGCCCAACTGAAAGCAATGAATGGCGGAAAAATAACTGCCAGCCGACGTCTTAAAAAGAAAACGCGTACTAATAAGCGAACGTTTTATTGCAATACGTCTCTTTGTCAGAAAACGTATCTCAATATGTTAGGAATTGGCCGCACTCACTTCGAAAACGTCAGAAACCATCTCGCAACCAATGGCATAATACCGTGTTCATGGTAATGTAAAAAAATAATCATTGATATAACCGTTGCTACCGCCGTGAAGAATTTTCTCAAAAACTATGCTGAAATTCATGGACTACCAAGTCCTAATGGTGATTGTTAAAAATACAAAATAGAATAGCATTTTTAAATAAATAATTTAGAGTTACATGAATTAATAATAATTTATAATATATAAATACTTATATAGTAGTATCTTTAGAAGATATTTATTAATATTGATATGATCTGGTGCAAAAAGACATCAAATAAATATTAATTAATGGTCCATCAATAAAAGAGAAGTAATGATCAGCAATCACTAATAAAAAATTGGAATAATAAATATTATACATGTTCAAAATCTCTTTTCTGAGCAATTGCATGTCTGTTTTTAATAAAAAACATAATACACAGCTTTTGGCTATTGAAGACATAGTAAAACAGTTTTATTATGATTATTTTACTTCAAATTGATGATTTTTTGTTTCAAAAAACCAGAAATCTATTTGGTTATCTTTTCATATAAATTACCAAATACATGTAAAATTAAATAAAGAACAGTTTGTAGTACATATAATAATTTTTTTGGATTTGTTTCAGAAACAGAACCAAATTGTAAAATTTATTCTAGTATATCCACTGTAATTAATGCTACATATCAAAAATTATTTAAAATTTATGTGCTATTCAGGCTTAAATCTTCTTAATATAGATGATGATAAAATAGTTGTTCAATTATTATCAGGTGTTTTATTTTGTCTGTTTCAAATCAAACTTGACAATATTAAAATTTTTATTGCACACATAATGTAATAATTTTGATTGGATTATCTTCCTTTAGATTCTTTTAGTTTAGATCTTTATTTTGCATTATCTATATAACAGATTAGCTTTGTATTATATTTTTAAGAAGATCATTTTCACTCTGGATACACAAATGATCATTAT